GAAGCCCGGCGTAGATGGTCAGGCTAAATTTGTGGTGTATAAACCTGATCCAGACTTCACAGCAGATCTTACAATGGCCAGATCTAACCTCCAGGTTCATAGACAGTGTGTGTGGCTCCCTTCTTTACCTTTACTCCTCAAGGAAAAGGTAAAGGACCCCTGGACGATTAAGTCCAGCCAAAGGCAACTATGGGGTTGCGGCGCTCATCTCGCTTTCAGGACAAGGGAGCCAGCGTTTGTCCACAGACAGCTTTCCGGGTCATGTGGCCAGCATGACTAAACCACTTCTGATTGGCAAGGACGGCGGTTCGAATCCCCATGATGGGGTGAGCTCCTGTAAATATTCAACTATAAAGCTATGCTGGAAGCTGCCAAGAGTGGCTGGAACAACCCAGTCAGATGGGCGGGATACAAATATTTTTTTTATTTTTTACAGTGGTACCTTGGGTTAAGTACTTAATTCGTTCCGGAGGTCCACTCTTAAACTGAAACTTTTCTTAACCGGAAGCACCACTTTAGCTAATGGGGCCTTCTGCTGCCACTGAAGCACGATTTCTGTTCTCATCCTGAAGCAAAGTTCTTAACCTGAAGCATTATTTCTGGGTTAGCGGAGTCTGTAACCTGAAGCGTATGTAACCTGAAGCATATGTAACCTGAGGTACCACTGTATATCCAAAGGAGCTGTATCTTTCAGATGCCCACATCTTCCTCCACTCTCAGGGTCCACACATAGGGCTTTGTTTGGGTTGTGTGAGAAAATTCTTTGGATTCAGTGAATTCAGTGAAATAATAATAATAATAAATGCTTACAAGGTATTAAAATCTCCAGCTGGAACTCCAGCTGTGTCCTCTGCTCAGGGCCTTTATTGGGGTCCAGGGATTGTGCCCTCCTGGGAGTAGTCAATGGTTGATGGAGGGAGGTTGGGTGGAAGGGAGGGAAATCTTGGTCTTCCAGGGTGAGAGGTTGGGAGGAGAAAGCAAAGATCTCAGGTGTGAGCTGGGAAGGGTACTACCTTCTGTGGGTGGTAAGAGTTAAGCACTACCTTTTAGAGAGGACTCCATGTTCTTTTTTTAAACTCTCTGTGACTGTTTTTGTTCTTGTTTTTTTTTTATTCACATTAGTTTTCTATATATTATTGTATTATGAAAAAAAGACTTTAATAAAAAAAAAACACCTAAAAATACCCGCCACTTTCTTTGTTCTTATTAAAAAAAATTGGACTTATTAAAGCAAAGCTATATTAAAAACAAAGGAAGACTGGTATCTAAATTAAAAATCAAGAAGCGGAGGCTCCAAACCACTGATGATGCCATCTGAACTGTATAAAAGTTCAAGACACACTGGGCTCTTCACTCGATTCCTTACCTTTCCATTGACTTCTGCTTCTCAGAGAACCAGGTAAGCCCAGCTTTCATGAATGTATTTTCAATGGTTGTGCATTATATTAGACAGTGTAGATGCATGCTGACATCTTCACTTGATCCCTTACCTTTCCATTGCCTTCTGTACCTCAGAGAACCAGGTAAGTCCAGCTTTGAGGAATGTATACGATGGTAGCAATACTTAAAGTAGACCCATTGACATTAATGGACATGAGAAACTTGAATAAATCAATTTCACCAGGCCTACTCTGAATAGCACATCATTAGACAGAAGCCAACTGGAGCAGTAACTCTTTTATCTGAGGTTGAAAGATCAGAGGCAGTGTGTGTCCGACTGAACTTCGCTGGAGAAGAGAGGACTTTTGGTAAGAGGTGTCCTTTCAGAATGATAGCACATAATCTGTGTTGGCCTCCCAAGGTCAGAACCAGCCCCTTGAGTTGGTCCTCAAGATAGAGTGGAGGTGTACTCAGGTCATACTTGTGGGCTCCCCAAGGTTTGCCACTGTGGGGGAAAAGCTAGTGGACTAGATATGTCTTTGCTTTGATCCATCAAAGCCCTTCTTATGCTCTTTTCTCCTGGAAACTAACATGTGGGTAGAGTAGATTTTACTATCTTGCGCAATCTAAAACTCTCATGACTCCCTATTAAACCAGTTAATATTCCCAAGCCATTGCAGTCATTATTGATGCTGTTTCCATGAAGATCTTCACGTTGGGCAGGGTTGGGGAACTGGTTGCCCTGTAGATGTGTTCCTATTGCAGCTCCCATCCTCCAGTGCAACAGGATCCTCCCCCCTGATGATTGTGGGCTTCCCATGGGGGCATAGGAATGGTCACCAAGAGACAGAGTGCTGGACTAGATGAGGATGATGACGATTTGTGAAATTTGTATACCAGCCTTCATTCAAAATCCTAGGGCTCTTCACAACAAGGAAGTGCAAACTGAGAATACAAAATACAAAATAAAACAAAAATAAACCAATACCAGCCCCCAAAAAGCCACATTTTAAAAGTCATAGAATGTTAATCAGCCGAATGCCTGGTTGAAGAGAAACGTTTTAGCCTGGTACCGAAAAATATGCAAATGAAGGCCCTCAGATGATGATCACAGGCTCTGCTTGGTTTATATGAGGAGAGGAGGTCTTTGACATGTTGCAATCCTGAGTCATTTAGGGCTTTAAAGGTCAAAAACAGCATCTGGAATTGGGCCTGAAAATTAATTGGCAGTTGAATCAGGATCGGTGTAATATACTCCAACTGTCTTGCTCCAGTGAGCAACTGGGCTGAATAATAATAATAATAATAATAATAATAATAATAATAATAATAATAAAAACAAAAAAAATTCCTTCCAGTAGCACCTTAAAGACCAACTAAGTTAGTTCTTGGTATGAGCTTTCGTGTGCATGCACACTTCTTCAGATACACTGAAACAGAAGTTGCCAGATCCTTCTATATAGTGAGAAGGTGGGGAGGGGTATTACTCAGAGGGGGGTGGGAATGGGTGATTGGCAGATAGCTGTGATGAGTCTGTTGACGACCCTTAACGACTGCAGTAGGTCTTACAGGAAAAAGCAAGGGGTGAGAAGGTGAAAAATGGCTTTGTCATGTATAGTGAGATAAGAATCCAATGTCTCTGTTCAGGCCAGGTGTCTCCATGGTTTTAAGTTTGGTAATGATTTGCAATTCAGCAGCTTCTCTTTCCAGTCTAGAAAGAGAAGCTGCTGAATTGCAAATCATTACCAAACTTAAAACCATGGAGACACCTGGCCTGAACAGAGACATTGGATTCTTATCTCACTATACATGACAAAGCCATTTTTCACCTTCTCACCCCTTGCTTTTTCCTGTAAGACCTACTGCAGTCGTTAAGGGTCGTCAACAGACTCATCACAGCTATCTGCCAATCACCCATTCCCACCCCCCTCTGAGTAATACCCCTCCCCACCTTCTCACTATATAGAAGGATCTGGCAACTTCTGTTTCAGTGTATCTGAAGAAGTGTGCATGCACACGAAAGCTCATACCAAGAACTAACTTAGTTGGTCTTTAAGGTGCTACTGGAAGGAATTTTTTTTGTTTTGACTATGGCAGACCAACACGGCTACCCATCTGTAATAATAATAATAATAATAATAATAATTTATTATTTATACCCCGCCCATCTGGCTGGGTTTCCCCAACCACTCTGGGTTGCTTCCAACCAAAAATTAAAACAATACAGCATCAGACATTAAAAACTTCCCTAAACAGGGCTGCCTTCAGTTGTCTTTTAAAAGTAAAATAGTTGTTTATTGCCTTGACATCTGCTGGGAGGGCGTTCCACAGGGCAGGCACCACTACCGAGAAGGCCCTCTGCCTGGTTCCCTGTAACTTGGCTTCTCGCAGCGAGGAAACCACCAGAAGGCCCTCGGCGCTGGACCTCAGTGTCCGGCTGAACAATGGGGGTGGAGACGCTCCTTCAGGTATACAAAACCTAGGCTGTTTAGGGCTTTAAAGGTCAGCACCAACATTTTGAATTGTGCTCAGAAACGTACTGGGAGCCAATGAAGATCTTTCAGGACCCGTGTTATATGGTCTCGGTGGCCACCCCCAGTCACCAGTCTAGCTGCCACATTCTGGATTAATTGCAGCTTCCGAGTCACCTTCAAAGGTAGAGCACATTGCAGTAGTCCAAGCTGAAGTTACTGAACCATCTTCAGAAGCAGCCCTATGTATAATGTGTTGCAGGACTCCAACCTAGAGGTTGCCAGAGTATAAACAACAGGACTTAGGCTATTCTTGCACAACTGGGTCATCAGCTCAAGCTGATGGAAGGCCCTCTGCGCCACTGAGACCACCTGAGACTCAAGCAACAGCAAAGGATCCAGGAGTACCCCCAAGCTACTTGCCTGCTCCTTCAGAGGGAGAGTAACCCCATCAAGAGCAGGCAACTTCCCATCTGCCCAGTCTAGGGAATCTCCCACTGACTGCCTCATTTCTATCTGAAATGAGCTTCAGTTTGTTGACTCTCATCCAGTACATTACCAAGGCAAAATAGTGGTCCAGCACATCCATTTTCATACCTGCAGATGATGTGTGCCATCAGCAAACTGCTGACACCCTACTCCTCTCAGCAGTTTCATGTAGATGTTAAATGACATAGGGGATAGACATGAACTCTAAGGAGTCCACATTGAATCCCCAAGCATCACCCTCTGGAAATGACCATCCAAGTAGGATTGTAACCACCTCAAAGCAGTGCAAAACTTGGACAGCCGCTCTAGAAGGACAACATGGTCAATGGCATAGAAAGCTGCTGAGACGTCAATGAGAATTGACATGGACACATTTCTGCTGTCTCTCTTCTGACAGAGGTCATGATCTTGTACCAGAAGGGCTCTTCTTATGGGTAACAGTGAGGGAGGGCGTTTGTACAACACTATAAATAGCTAATGTGGTTTCCTCCAAATGATCTGGACTTCAACTCCCATCATTCCTGAGCATGTGGCCTGATTGATGGATTTTGCATTCCAAATCATTTGGAGAGCAACAGGTTGGCTGCCCCAGGTATAAATATTGCATTCCCCTTTTTGATATTTCTCACTTTGTTTCAGATTAACCTCCACCAACCCAACATGGTTCACTGTGGTCCATCTTGCGCTGTCCCATCCTGTGCCTCCACCCCAGTTGTGGGTTTTGGATCAGCAGGTCATGGCTACAGAGGTCTTGGCTATGGCCTTGGCTTTGGTCATGGAGGTTTCGGCTGGGGGCATGGAGGCTCTATTGAATCCTCTGGATCCCTTGGCACCCTGAACGGTGTTATTCCTTCATGCATCAACCAGCTCCCACCAGCAGAGGTCGTGATCCAGCCACCTCCCAGTGTCCTGACCATCCCAGGGCCCATCCTCTCTGCTAGCTGTGAACCTGTGTCTGTTGGAGGCAACACTCCATGTGCTGTTGGGGGTTATGGCTATGGGTACGGCAGAGGGCTCTTTGGGGATGGTTATGGTTACTTTGGAAAGAGGTCTTTGTTGGGTGGCCGTTCTGGTATCTGTTCATACCCCTGCTAAACCCAGATGGATGACCCCCTTGCAAACTCAGAATTTGGAACTGTGATATCCTGGCTCATGCCTGAGTTCATGCACTCACATTTCAGAAAGGCTGAGTGTGCACATTGCTTCAGGAAAAGAATGCAACTTGTGGATGCTCAGCTCCCTCTGAAAAGCCTATTCTCATGCCTTTTCTTGCCTTCCTTTTAAAAAAAATATATGTATATGTCCCTCTCTTTGTCTTCTTATATATAAAACAGCAAGTCTGTTCTGCAAGCCTCCACTGCACTAAGCTACAAAATCTGTCATATGTGGACTTAGAGTTCTTGAGTTAAAAGCTTTCCCCTTGAGTAGAAGAAGATGTAAGCAATTCCTTGCAAAGACAGTGCTCTGCCTGATTGGTTTAGCCTGTGTTTATGTGTGGTTTTCAATGTATCTCATGATTTACCATATCTCATGGATGGGAAACCTCTCTCTTGGCCCCAGGTGTTCTTGGACTCTAGCTCTCATCCCCAGCCAGAATAGCCAATAGTCAAGGATTATGGGAGTTGTAGTCTAACAACATTTGGCAGGGTCTACTGTAAAAGCAAACTGTCCACTCTGTTTTCATTAAAGCTCATTCATCAATCTCTTATAAGCCTTCTTGTCTTGTTGTATCTAATTCCGAGGAAAATCTCCAGCAGAAAGATTGTTATAAGCCAGGGGTGAGGAATCTTTCTTTAAATATTGCATTTATCTGCTCATTATATACATACATACATGCATATGATTAGCACACCCCCAGAGTGTTAAGAAACTCACATATGTAACTCAAACAGAGTCCAAAGTTTTGTCTTTCTTACTTCAGATATTGTACATAACAGGGAGATATTCAAAGATGCAGAAGAAAAGCTCACTCAGAACCACACAGCCAATCAGGGCATGTGCTAACTCAGCAAAGACCATCCCGTTCAGCAATGTCTCCTGTGGGTTACCTGATTTTCCAATATCAGAAATAACCCTTAAGTTACAGACCTAATCATCCCTGCTGTTGCACTTCAAACACACTATGGGACACAACTCTCTGCATGCCATTTCCTGAGATGCCCCTTAGCTACAAACATTAATAAGCCAAATAATCCCTCAGCATCGGACTTTAGACCTGAATAAAAGCCTGTACATGGAGATATCTGACTTACATTCCAAGATAGATAGCAATTTGTTGGTGTGGTGGGGTCTTTGTCCAATTCATAATGCAACCGAGCCCTATGAGTCTGATCAATTCACATTCCAAGCTGAGCAACAGGGCCGGCCCTCTCATGAGGCAATGTGAAGTCACTGACTCAGGTGGCAGGATCTACAAGGGCAGCAGATTCAGCCTCCACTAAATGAATTGGACACTGCTGCTGCCACACACTCTTTCGATGCCATAACTGCATCCTCCTTGGCAGATCCCCCCCCCATAACATCTCTATAGTGGCCTCTTGGCAAATACCGATAGGAAGTGCTACTGGTCTACACCTAACAGCGGGGACTGCCTTCTGAGGTCTTCTGGGTTCTGCACCCATCTGGCGTGATTCAGTGCAGCCCCACCCCATGATGGCCTTTGATTCCCACTTCAAGCACTGGGTGAGGTTGATTTGATTCCCCTCATTGTTCCCAATGCACATTTTCTTCCACCCCCTTGTTCCCAACGTAGATCTTCACTCCCCACTTGTTCCTGATGTAGCTCTCTTCATTCACCTCTTCTTCCCAGGTGGGGCGGTTTGCATCATTTTGCAGTTCACATCAGGTGCCAAAATGTATTGGACCAGCCTTTCTGGGCAATTATAGACTTTGGCAATGACACTGGTCTCAAATGATGCAGCCCAAATAGGGACGGGGAAGAAATTTGATTCGGTTAGCAGTTAATTGTGAACCTACCTACCCTGCACTTTCTGAAACAATACAACAACAAAAACATAGCTATGTTTTGAGCTACAGTGACCAGAGTTCCCTCATTTTCTCAGGTTTCTCCTAAGAACTCTCAGCCCCCTTAATGAACTACAGCTCCCAGAATTCTTTGAGTGAAGCCATGGCTGTTTCAGGTGGTATCATAGTGCTTTAAATATAGGGTGTGAATGTGGCCTACCTCTTTGCTTCCCTCAAAATGCCTCCAATTTGACCCCACCCCTGCAAAGCTAAAACGTTTATGCTTTGGGCAAAATTCAATAGTGAGCTAATGAAAGGGTTGTGTACTTTGTTGATCACCGCAGCTCTTCATGAACGACTGATGCAGCTATTTTGCTTGCAACAACCCATCCAAATCGCACATCTTGTGTGGGTGATAATGGAGATGATTCTTGGAAATTTGTGCAAATGACAGAAGCTGGAGATTGGCCCACTATCATCTTGCTTTGACCCAAAGTTACTATTATGATTATTATTTTAAAATGCTTTTTACTAGGAAGGGTTGCTGACTCAACTGTCTCAGAAAGCTAAGTGTATGTTTGGCAATGATGGGGAAAAAAGAATTGTGAAAAAGCCTTCTTAGATAACATCTGAACAAGGTGCAGAACCTTATTAATGCAATGCCCCACCTTCATAGGAGCACATAATCTCCTAAAATTGCTGGCATTTCATCCTGCTGGCTTTCTTCAGGATGGAAACACACAGTCTTCAAAGAGATTAATTGCCAACAAGATTCGTGGTACTATACTATAGAGAGAACCTGTAGTTGTTTTCATGTGCTTTGTGCTTCCGATCAGTGGCATGTTTCAGGGTAAGTTTATGAAGCTGAGCGCCCTTTGGATGAGAGAGTAACAGCACTGGTGGCTGGTGCCCATTGAGACAGGTAGGCAAGGAGACCCAACAGTGGGTGGAGCCAGTGAGAGGCAAAAGCAACTCATTCTAGCTTTGTCCCCATCCTCCTCCTCTCTGTTGAGTTCTACAAGGGGAAACATTGAGGACAAGGAGAAGGAAGCTGACAAGCAGTTGAACTATCTGGCCTCGTTGTATGAAAGCAGGCAAGTGGGGGCTGGCTGGTTAGTTGGTGGGGCAGTATCCCATTCACCCCAATGAATCATCCCCCAATGAATAACAGGGATTTATAGTGCCTTTGCAATATCAGTATCTTTCCCCATTAGTCATGTGTCTTGCCCTGTTAGATGGAGCAGGATAGAGACGAAGGACTAAAGTTTTAAGGCTCAGGTGAGAATATATGGGATGGTATGAACAGGTTATCTGCTGAGGTTCAGTGAGATGTTTGAAAAACCACAAATCATTTCTTAAGATAAGGTACTGCTGAGCTTTCCTAGGCAATGGAGTTTATGTAATCATTGGGAGGGGGATGTACGAAGAGCCCTGGTGGATCACACCATAGAAGAGCATTGATCTACACTTGGTGAGTTGGGGTCCACTGGTGGGTTGCAGCCTGATCCAAGGTGGGTTGCAACAGGAACACTACCACCATGCAAATATGTGGTAAAAGATAAGAAATGCAGGTGTTGGTCAAAAGTGAGTCCTGGGTCTGAAAAGGGTGAAGATACTTGCTCTGGACCAGCATCCTGTTTCCACAGTGGCCAGTCAGATACCTCTATGAAGACCACAAGCAGGACACAATGACAATAGCCCATATCTAGAGCTAGCCAACATTGGGGTGTATATTTGGTGACATAGTTTCTCAGCAAACAGCACATTGTTGTTGTTGTTTAGTTGTTTAGTCGTGTCCGACTCTTCGTGACCCCATGGACCAGAGCACGCCAGGCACTCCTGTCTTCCACCGCCTCCCGCAGTTTGGTCAGGCTCATGCTGGTAGCTTCGAGAACACTATCCAACCATCTCAACCTCTGTCGTCCCCTTCTCCTTGTGCCCTCCATCTTTCCCAACATCAGGGTCTTTTCCAGGGAGTCTTCTCTTCTCATGAGGTGGCCAAAGTATTGGAGCCTCAACTTCACGATCTGTCCTTCCAGTGAGCACTCAGGTCTGATTTCCTTCAGAATGGATGTGTTTGATCTTCTTGCAGTCCATGGGACTCTCAAGAGTCTCCTCCAGCACCATAATTCAAAAGCATCAATTCTTCGGCGATCAGCCTTCTTTATGGTTCACTTCCCTGCTCCTCCACATGCAGCTGCTGGGTGACCTTGGGCTAGTCACACTTCTCTGAAGTCTCTCAGCCTCACTCACCTCACAGAGTGTTTGTTGTGGGGGAGGAAGGGAAAGGAGAATGTTAGCTCCTTTGAGACTCCTTAGTAAAGGTAAAGGGACCCCTGACCATTAGGTCCAGTCGTGACCGACTCTGGGGTTGCGGTGCTCATCTCACTTTATTGGCCGAGAGAGCCGGCGTACAGCTTCCGGGTCATGTGGCCAGCATGACTAAGCCGCTTCTGGTGAACCAGAGCAGCACACGGAAACGCTGTTTACCTTCCCGCCAGAGCGGTACCTATTTATCTACTTGCACTTTGACGTGCTTTCGGACTGCTAGGTTGGCAGGAGCAGGGACCGAGCAACGGGAGCTCACCCCGTTGTGGGGATTCGAACCGCCGACCTTCTGATCGGCAAGTCCTAGGCTCTGTGGTTTAACCCACAGCACCACCCACGTCCTTTTGAGGCTCCTTAGGGTAGTGATAAAGTGGGATATCAAATCCAAACTCTTTCTTCTCAGTGGCTGCCAGCCACAATGGCTATAATCTGCTTCTATGGCAGGTGGCCGTAATGCTTCTGAATACAGGTTGCTAGAAACCGCAGGAGAGGGAGAGTGCTTTTGTGCTCGGGACTTGTTTCCCATTGGGGCATCTGGGTGGCCACTGTGAGAATAGGATGAGATGAGCCATTGGCCTGATCCAGCTGGCCTCTTCTTATGTTATTAAGAAAATGGTTAGCCAGGAAGCCCACAAGGAGGGCAATCTCCTCCCTTTGATGTTTGTCTCCCAGCAATGGGTATGAGGAGAGGTATACTGCCTTTGAACCTGGTGGGTCAGATCTGGCCATCACTAGATCTTCTATGATGGCCAGATCAGGTTTATACCCCACAATTTTATCCAGCCAGTCTAAGCAATCATGCAAGGAAATCCACCCCTGACTGAACTCACTTGGACGACTGACTAAACATGTTACAGGATTGGGCCGACTCAGCAGAATATGTTCAAAAGAAGGAAAACAGGGTGTAGAATGGTGTGTGCAAATTCTGCATGGAGATGATGATAGCTTTATTTCCTCCCCACCCCCAACCCCGTCCTTCTGTCTCATGGGCTAATTAATGTAAATTGAGGTTATAAATGCACAGAAATCGTTTTGCCGATAGCTAATTAAAACTTATGAAACAAAGGGGTGTTGGCCTCTGGGGCCAGCAGGAGGGGACCCTGACAAAAATATATAAAATAAACCTAAAGCCTTGCTAGGTGCATCCAGCACTGACTCTTGGGCTCCTTTCATCTCTTCTCTCCATATATATTGGTAAGTAGGGCATCTATCAGTGGATTTTCACCAAGGGGATTAGTCTGTGTCTGGGTTATGTTGCTTTGAACTGTGGAGTTCATATGAATGAATGCTCCTCTGTATGGCAAATAAGGTTTTTGTTGTTGTTGTTGTTTTGAGACAGCTAGGGTGTTAGGGGCACAGGTGAGATAAGGCCTTTTCCTTTACCTGCTA